ATTTGAAGGAGAAAGCTCTAGATCGCATTAAGTGGAGGAATTGTTTTGAAAGAGACTGTGGACCTGTCGTCTTGACAGATTACTGATGATGATGATGCAACTGGGGTAAAATAAATGTGAAGCTGTTCCTGAGCATAATGCCATAGAGGTGTATGGGAGTTCAGTGAAAACACCAAAATAGCAATCTGGCAGATTTGCTCCATTTCACTAGATGCTGGCAACCACCCTCATGTCTCTGTGCCCACTTTTACTTGTACTCTACATAATTCTCTTCAGTTTTATTCATCCTCATTCTTAATGATATAACCCTGGTAACGAAATTTTAGTACTAGAACAAGTAATTTCATATTCCACATTAACTTTATGAACATTTTAATTTTGTGCATAATTTACTAATTTTCTAGTGAGGACATTCCCTGCATGTAATATTTCAGAGGGAGCTCATATGCCCTCTTGCCTGTAGTTTCCACCACAATTGTGTGCTTTTAGGTGTTAGAAGAATAAGGCTGACATTTATAAAAATTTGAAAATATGAATCTTATTTTAAATTAATGAGAAGAAACATGCAAAATAATTAAACCAAAGAAGAGTGAATAATTGCACATCAATCATTTGTGTAAACATGTTTGACTTTGTAGAAAGAACTCTTTCTCCACAGTCTAAGGTGAAGCACAGCAGTTGACTGTATCAATGCAGGGAATACTACTAATCTGTTATAATTGCTTGAGCTTGCACATCAGTTTTAATGGTATTTCATGAAAGTTATTATAATGAATGTTAGTATATAGGTTTAAAAATGGTAATGGCGGCAGGTCTTGTCTCATTATGAGGTATGACAGTTTATATTGACTCTGTAATCAATTTTAGCAGATTAAATACAGAAGTAAAAAGAAGTGTAACATTCATGGAAATGTGGAGTGGCTTGCATGTGCTTGTAGTTCCATGATCCATTTTTATATGATCAGCAACGCTAACCAAGTATTTTATTCTGTAAGATCATTCCTGCAATAACTCAGAGAAGATCCTTTCTTATTTCCAATTTGACTTTATGTGTAAGAAATTCGGTTTCACCAGTATATCAATAGCAGTTGCTCAGTTACAGAAATAAAGTGTAGTAATTTCAGTAGCTTGTCTTTTAAAATTGTAGGACAGCACAGTATTGTTCTGCATGCCATCATTATTTTAAAACATATAAATTCAACCAAATTCCCCATTATAGCAACATACTGGTGTGCCACAACATTTGAATTTGCTGTGTACTTATCTCATTAACAGTACTTCACAATATGTGGTAATAGCAATGTATTTTTTTCAGCTCTGTTTTTTCATCTCATCAACTAGTGCTACTGTTTCTGTGTTGAATTTTTGCTGCTTTGACTAATATCTTTGTATTGACATTTATGCTAATGATATAAAAATTGCTTTTTGGTGTGGTTTGTTAGCAAATGCCTCATACTATTTTTCCTTTAGTTACAAATAGGACACTGTTTATGTCTACTTACATATACGCACATGCACATAGCACTTCACAATGAAAAAGGTTATGACTGTTTCCTTCCAGTTCGCTCCTACTCACTAATTGATCAATCTGTTTCTTTTTCACTACAATGTAACTTAAGCAGTTGACACTTTGTCTTTAAATTAGTCAATAAAATTTGAACCATAGTCCTGATCCTAAAAAGCCATGTCTTCATCACTGATATCATGACTGTTAAGACCCATAGCAGAGTTGTTCCGCAGCTTCTAATTTATCAGTATTGAGAGATTAATATTTCACACTGAATTATATGGTGGTCACAGTGACTGTAGACTTGGCAGCAAAGGGTCTGGCTGTGATGGTAGGCTGTGACCACACCCAACCTGCCAGTTACAATTATCCTCACATTTTATTTCAAGGCAGAATCCTTTCAGTAATCATCTTAAGTACTGGAGTCCTCAGATCTGAAGGCGTGTGACTGGTGATTCATGTTTCTTATTGCTTTTAGTTATTTCTACATGTTGCAACATAAATTGATACAAAAAAAATTCATTATTGTATGAAGGGCATTCTGTAAATAATGCCTCCTATTTTTTGTGTTAATATGTAACATCTGAGATGGATGTTGGTGGTGTTGTAGTAAAGGTTGAACCTTCCTGCCAATGTACTGTTAGTTTGGTTGTTGTGCGACAGATAGCGACAGCAGAGCAGTCTACCAAAATGGCGTCTGACACAGAAGTGCATATGAAACAGAGATGTGTTATTGAATTTCTCACTGTCGAACAAATTGTACCCATTGACATCCATCGACACTTGCTAAAGGTGTACAGAGACAATACAGTGGATGTCACAGTGAGGCAGTGGGTAGTGTGTTTCAACAGTGGCGAAAGTGAAGTGCACAACAAGCCATGCCCTGGGCATCCCTGCTCAGCTGCCACTCCTCACAATGAACAGCACTTCATCCATACATATCAGCAGATAATGACCAGGGAACTGTGTGCATGGCTTAATATCGGCTGTAATGCATTGGAAGCAACGTTGGGGAAGCTGGATTATCGCAAAGTTTGTTCCAGGTGGGTCCCGCGGATGCGTACACAGGACCACAAAACTCATCAAATTGAAGTTTGTCAGGACCTCTTGCACCAGTTTGAGGCTGAAGGTGACAAGTTTCTGGACAGCATCATCATCGGAGATGAGACGTGGTGTCACCACTATGAGCCGGAATCCAAAAGACAGTCCATGGAGTGGCGACGTGCGGATTCCCGAAGAAAAAAGAAGTTCAAGACAGCTATCGGCAAGGAAAGTGATGTGCATGGTGTTTTGGGATAGGCGGGGCGTGATTCTGTTGGGTTTCCTGGAGCCTGGTGAGACTGTCAATTCTGAACGCTACAAGACGATGCTGACTAAGCTAAAAGCCCACATTTCCTGAGTCAGGCCAGAGAAGCAGACAGTCTTTTGCTTGCAACACGATAATGCTAGACCCCATACTGCGCACATTGCAAAGTTTGGCTGGACTGTCCTACCACATCCACCTTATAGCCCTGATTTAGCTCCTTCAGACTTCCATCTCTTTGGGCCTATGAAAGACGGACTATGTGGGCAACATTTTCCAGACAACGATGCTGTCATTGCAGCTGTAAGAAAGTGGCTAGCCTCTGCTGGTGCAGACTTTTACAGGCACAGCATACAGGCTCTTGTTCATCTCTGGCAAAAGTGCATAACGAATGGTGGTGATTATGTGGAAAAATAACTGCAAGTAGCTGAAATCTTGCTATATTTAACTGCGTTATTATGCTTTCTGTATCTATTGTAGTTTTCTTTAAAAAAGTAGGAGGCATTATATACAGAATGCTCCTCATACTAAGTCATTAGTATTATCATTAGTGATAGGTTCATTTTCTGTTTCATATTCTGTTTTCCATTAAGCTGACTACACAATAGGATTCACTCTCATATCTCAAGATGTTTTATCTAATGATTATAATTAAAAGATCATATTGTGTGAGTAAATGTACTAATTATATTTCAATAAACTTCAGTTCCAAGGATTGACAGCAAATAACTGCAAAAGACAATTATGTAAGTGATGAATGGGTTGCTTGGTGCAACCTACCTCTTTGGCAATGTGAGAATTTGTGTTTTGTCTGTGTTTCAGGAAATATTGATGAGTATGTTTATTTTAAGACCCCCTTCCTTCCATAAAGGAGGTAAACATCTAATAATTTTTGCCATTTTAACTGACATTGTAGGAATGGTTCATCACTCCTCACTTTTGTTAAAAAACATTTTCAGGGATAGCATCTCACAGGATCCCTTCATCCCAATGTATTTGCCTGTGTTTATGTTTACAGAGCAAAGGCAAAGGCAAAGATGAAAGATTTTTTTTACTTATTTCCTCCTCATTCATTACCTTTCTTGTCACTGTTGCCGTAAAACTAGTAGCAAAATTCTGTGCATTTTATATACAAATTAAAGTTGTGTTAACATTTTTGCATGTTTAATGTAATAAATACATACAGTCCTGTGTGAAGTTTTTATTTGATTAGTGAGACAAAGCTTACATAAATTTTGTAATTTTCCTCATCCTTTCTGCTCGCTTCTCTTTGCATGTAGCATGAATGGTAATGTTTTAAGACTAGTGAAATGTCTCTTAACAGGAAAATTTGACAGTTCCAATCTCTAGTTACAGTTTCCACAAATAACCTTCATGTTGATCCATGTTATACATTGTAGCCCTTCAGTGACACTTTGAAATTAAGATTTGACTAAATGTGAATAATGTGAAACTTCTTCCAGTGAAGTCTGAGGCCATAATACTGACTGAAGTATAGGCATCTCTCGTTTCTGTTTCTTGCTGCCATATTCTGGTACTTCTGTTCTTAACTGTTGTTAGTTATCCACATTCCTGCATAACATGCACATACACAGTTGTAAACCATATCCTATTTAGTATATGTGATGCTTCTCAGTACAATCTGGTCCTCTTACTGATGAACAACTTGTGCATACCAGCAGACTTGTTGAACATTGCACTTCTGTCATTACATTGTATTGTGACATGTTGACCCCTACCTCCCCAGCGGTGCGTGGCGGTGGCGTAACGCTCGCGTTCTTACGGTAATAGGCGAGTTCCCGCCCCGCCACTCCCCTCCGCGGTGACGTCACCGAGGGATATCGCGGTCGCTAGGCAACGCGAATCAACAGCGGCGACGTTACGATAGTAACAGCGGTGACCTCCGCTAGCGTTACATAGCAACAGAGCGCCAGGCAAAAGGGTGCCTATTACGTGGCCGTTTTCCCGTATTGTCCGATCGAGGCTACATAGGGAGAAGCGAAGGCTATTCACAGCCAGTTCTAGTGCGTTACCACCGAGTTGTGCTGAGTTGTACTGAGACCGTCAGCGAGTCCTGGAGCTACCGCCGAGTTAGCCAGCAACTAGTCAGTTGTATTGTGGCATTTTTCAGTGTACTAATTGTGATACTGCAGATAGCAGTAATCGTCAGATTGTAATTTGGGTGATTGTAAGTGCGAATGTGAAATAAAATTCGCTATATAAAATACATCGTGAAGTTATTTGTCGCGATATACGCCCGATACGCGACAACTGGTGTCAGAAGTGGGATCAGTAACGGAAAACACGTTACAGTATGTTTCGACATTGAGTGTAAGGGTACAGGCAAACATGTCCATGTGTCTCCTGAAATCTCATGCTTCTGTTAAAAGCAAAGATAAGAATTCCTTACCTTGGTTTCTGGACAAAAGGAACAATCTTACAGGTTTATATATTGTCACGTGTTTGGGTGACTCAGACACGGGTTTGTATTGGTAATTGGATTTATTAACAACCTACAGGTCATAACTACAAACAGTTATTACACTGTTGCTGATTTACACAATTTACAATCACTCTACACTAATCTTCTCAGTCTGTTTCCACTAGTCTTCACTATCCACTTCCTGACAACGGATTTATAACACGGGAACTGTAAAAGTCTCACAAAATTACACACTCCCAATCCGACTGCACTATAGCACAGTTCACAAGTTAACTCTTCATAAAATATGAACTTCCTGTGGCTGTCTCCTCCTGAAACTGTATTGTAGCGCCAGTGGTCTTCAAGATAACTCCTGTTGGGAATCGTGGACTCAACGTGGCGTGATAATGCACGTGTTGCCAGTAACAGTTCCCCATTGTGACGCGACAGCAGAGGAGCTGTGTTAGGCAACACTTCCCCACTGTGACCTAACAGCGGAGGAGCTGCTAGGCAACAGGCCAGTAAACACTTCCCTGCTGTGATGTGACAGCAGGTGCTGCTGCTAGGGCAACAGGCAACAGTATCAGTATCAGTGAAGCCATTGGAAGCTGACAGAAGGCATTGTGTGTTTTGACAGATGCCAGTGGTTAGCCAGCATGGAGAGACAGACAGTTCTACAGTCTAGTGAGAGTGTTAACATGAAAGGAGGGACTCTGAAACGACTTGTTCAACATTTTGTGTTATAGTTACATTGAGTTGTAGTTACAGTGTTGAGGAATAAAGTGACATAGCAAGAATACTCTCGAGGTCTTGCTTCACGACAACTCCTCTGTATGGACCCCACAGTAAACACCATCTCCCATTGATGTGGATGCATGTTTACTGCTGCGTTGCGGCAACATGCTTTTGCTTGGCGCGAACCTCGTAGAAAACACATCTTCCCTTCTATTGTTGCCTCCATTCGTGTGTACTGAGCTGTTGCATGGCAACGCTTTGATAAAATGCGCTACAATATCCTGTCTGTGCATCAGTCCCAAATAAAGTGTACTGTTTTCATGCAGCTACATTAAGAGATTATGTTGCAGTGATTTTGAGGTCTTACCCTCAGTCAATTTGAAATTGTACATGAAAAGTTTTGAGATAGGAGAACTACAACATTTTTTTATGAGCATTTAAATGTACACACCACATTTGAAGACCAATTTTATCAGTGTAAAATATCAAAATTATGTTTGTACAAAATATTTTTGATTTAAGGATAATTACTGACAGACCTTTTAGCCAGGCATGTGTAACAGGAGATTATAAATCTGTACATTTGGATTGTGGTCTTCTGGGGTTATGATGTCATGTAGTCTTGAGAAGTTGGTAGCCACCTACCAGACAACATAGTGTCACAACCTGAATGGTCACAATCAAAACCTTTACCTTTGTAAAACCAGAAATTTGATATGTGTATACACTGCACTATGATAGGTATTATGGACAATGGAGTGACCTATGTGTGTGTTAGTTGCCTGACATGTTAGCATAGCAAGTGAAACAGGACTAAACCACAGTCACATTGTGGCCTCCCTTGGGAGATGCTGTTCTCATATAAACTGTGAAGAAACAAGAGAAGTCTGCATAGGATTAAATCCAAGGCTCTAGATACAGGCAGAAATGTTGTGCTTAATTGATTTATTCTGAGTGGAGTGAGCAGTTCCTAATTCTTATATATCAATCAGTATTTGATAATTAGTAACTAGTAGCTGATAAATGTAAATTACATTGAAGCTGTTTTGTAGCTTTTAGGCTAGGTTATTCACTTCAACACACAAACTCACATTGTCAAAAAGTATGCATAGAAATAATTATGTTTTGTTTCATTTGATTATTTTAAGAATTTCCATTATTAACAGTTCTTAAATAAATTTTTAGAACAACCTCCAGATGTCAAAATGAATGCGATTGCATTTTCAAAGCCAGTGTCAGAGCAAATTGAAGATCGTAGACAGAAAGGTGAGTTGATGTCTTTTGATTCGAGACAGCCTTAATCACTTGTAGTAACTCTTTGCAGGTTAGTGATGACTGCCACAGTGACTGGTCTGTAAGGGCTTAAAATATTCACACTGTTGCTTAGTGTTCTTGTTTGTTAGTAGTATTGTGACATGTTAACAAGTTAACATTAACAAGTGCTTTAGTTTATATTCAGAAGAAACCTTACACTATTTATCATGCATAAGAAAATAGCTGTTTACCTATGCCTTAAAGCATTAAACACAGGCATACACACTTTAGTTGATCAGGTTGTCTTAGTATACAGACCTTTAGATATGTGTCATTTACCTATATTTATGATCTTCAGTTTCAAATTTTATGGTTGAATTCTGAAAACCTGCATTGTTTATGAAGTACACATAAAATATCAATCTCAGCTGTAGATGTGAGTTTTGTTTTAGAAATGTTTATATTATTCTTTATGTAAATATATGTGGAATATTTTTTGGCCTTACATTGTGCTTTTTAAGCAGAAGTTCACTTGTGTGGTTCATATCAGGTATTGAGGATTTTATGGCCGTGATTATCCACATGGTGGTTTCTGCCTGAAAGCCTCCTTGGTGTCAAGCGCAGGAGACCATAAAGTGAACATGCATGATGCATTTTAGTAAGGACTGTAAATACCAAATTTCATCCAGATCTGCTTATCTAAAGTAGAATTATTACATGTTGACAGGTGGACATTATGACATATAATACAGTGTAAGTTTTTTGCAACCACAGACTCAGGTCAAAGGCATAAACCTTATGGTTAGGCTACCCCAAAATATATATTTTGTTTGCTACACACCTGGGCACGCACGTCAGTGAAGCATGCTTAAGGACTTTTGTAACTGCTACTGGTTGCATGTTTGTGCTGGTTGTCTGTGCATGCACATCTATCTCTAAGTTGAAACCAGCTTTATAAATAATTGTTTAGAAGATGAAAGTTATGGTGCAATTTTAAAACAAATTACATTATTTTTTTCTGCATGTTTCAGATTTGTATTTAAGCTGATAGAGCCAACTCTTGATTGTGTGGGTTTGAGTGACATGCATGGCTGGGCATGCTTGAAGGAAAAGATTAGTTGTGAGATGGGTGTCCTTTATTCATTCATTCATTCATTTACATTCCATGAGTCATAACATGGCTGGAAGAATAGTGGATATAGAAATAGTAAATGACAACAAGACAAGTCACATCAATTACATAAATACAACTTAATCATACTTAATCCATCACAATTACACATGTTATCCAAGACAAATCACAGTGAGTAGTCATTAAATGGTTTCAAAATTTATATGCAAAAGCATGCAACATGCTAATATCAATCAAGACTACAATAATCAAACATAAAAATGTACTACTAGCTGTCCAGTGTATTAGACCAAGGTTGTTAATTAATATTGAAGTTAAAATATTCTTCCAATGAGTAAAATGAATCTAAATTGTTTCATGCTAGAAGGAAGATTATTAAAAACCTTGATTCAAAAATAGTATGTTCCTTTCTGAAATACTGTTAAATTACATATTGGATAATGGAAATTGTTAATATGTCTTGTATTAATGCTATGAATCTTGGTTAGATTTAAACTGTTCTCTGTTTTTAATCATAAATAACAAGAGAAAACGTGTACTATGATTGGAGGGGCAAAATTTTCAGTACCAGAATAGAGACAAATACGGCTGGGGGGAGGGAACTTGTAGCACTAACTGCAGATGTTTCAGTGTATTGCCATTGTGTGCATATGTTATAACAGAAACCTATGAGGCCCAAGGACAGCGGTGTGTAATATCATTGTGTATTAGGTGCAGAAACCATGCAGCAACGAATGGATCGCCTTCAGGATGAACTGATAAAGGTCCAGATCAAGTACCAAAGAGAATTAGAGCATTTAGAGAGAGAGAATAAGGAATTAAGGAAACAGCTACTTCTCTACAGAGCAAATAAAGCAACATCCAAGAAAGTCAAGGTACGCCTGCTCCACCACAAGCTGAAAAGTAAAAACAGTTTAGTTTTTATGTAGTTCTAATAATGAAAGCAGTGATAAATGTAAAATGTGTTCTGTTGATGCAGAAGTCGCTGATTGACATGTACTCGGATGTACTCGATGAACTCAGTGAATATGACTCCAGTTACAACACGCAGGATCATCTGCCGAGGGTTGTAGTCGTTGGGGATCAAAGTTCAGGCAAGACATCTGTACTTGAGATGATCGCTCAGGCACGAATCTTCCCCAGGTACTTCCAACATAGTGCTCAGGTCTTGTAAATGTAAAAACAGATCATCGGTTAAACTAACTGTTAAAATTGGTTCAGTGATAGTAATGTAAATAGCGATTGCTTCTGCTGTTGCATGAAGATGACCTCTTTGTGCAAGTGCCAAAGTTTTGCTGATTGCAGGAATTACTTGTATAAGTATGACAGAGCGTCTCCCTCTCTTGCCTTCCCACCTCCTCCCTCCCTCTGCCAACATTTCTGAATGCTACAATTAATAGAGACAGTTTATATCTCACTTCAGAAGTTAGTATGTCTGCCATGTGTATGTTTTTATTGGTAGTGAGTTAAAAATATAGGTGGTGGTGACCTCTGCTAGAATATAATGTTCACATATATGGGTTGGGTCAGCAGTTCTCAGTAGAACACACATTCATGATGATACTGCCATAAGCCTCACTCTCTATGCAGCATGTGGAAGACAGGCTTTTTAAATTTCTGATATTGCAGTTTTTGGTCAGACTTAGGTGGGTTATTGTTATTTGGGTTTGTGACAGAGGCGCAGGTGAGATGATGACCAGAGCTCCAGTAAAAGTGACGCTGAGTGAAGGACCTTACCACATTGCACAGTTCCGTGACAGTGCAAGAGAATTTGATTTAACAAAGGAATCTGATCTTGCAGAGCTGCGTAAAGAGGTTTGTACTCTACAAAGTTTCCCATATTTTCATTAGAAAACAAAGCTAAAGCTGGAATTTTGAATATTTCAAGTAAATGGCTCACCCCNCCCCCCCCCCCCCCCATGATCTTAACATTGGCATTCATGATGTTGCTTTACATATTTGTGTGTAGTAATGTCTTAAATTAAATTTAAATAGAGAACAGCAATTCATTAGACTCCTTCAGCATAAAAGTCCCCAAAAGATGATTTAGGGCAAGTCAAAACATGAAGGGCAGAAATGTAAATTATTATGACATGGATAATGCAATGAAGTATAGTATATGAAGGCATGTGAGTCAGTTGGGAAAGATGAACTTATGAACATCTGGGATTTAATTCACAAGTTCTGAAAAATAATTATAAAAATTTGTTGCCATTCTAAACATGGGCAATTTTGAATTATATGCTCAACATTTATTTCAAAGAAACAGCATGCATATTATGATATGTTGGGATTTAGATTAGATTAGATTAGAAAGAGCTAGCCTCAATCACTGTCCAGTGATTGAGGCTAGCTCTTTCTAAGGGACCCAACTGAATAGGTGTTTTCCTTCACCTGAGGACGGAAACAGATCCAGTTTCCGAAACGTCGTGTTTTTATTTGTTATCTTAAAAACCAGGACGATGGATAAAGTCCAAAATCCCAACATATCAGTGTGTTATACACCATCGTCAGAATCCTATAGTAACTACCAGCATGCATATTATTCTGAAAACCTATTTATTGGCTGTTTGGTATGCCATAAAAGTGCACCTTCCATTGCCCTTCTTATCTCAATTATGAAGAATAATTCTTGATCTGCATTGTGTTTTGGTTTAGGTTGAGATCCGGATGAAGAACAGTATTCGAGATGGCAAGACTGTTAGTAATGATGTGATCTCAATGTCTGTCAAAGGCCCTGGCCTGCAGCGGATGGTGCTGGTTGATCTCCCTGGAATTATTAGTGTAAGTGGTCAACATGACCTTGACCTTATGACATCTTGTAAACAGGGAAAGGGTTAAGACAGTTTTCTCATTTATGCAGTTAACTCTTCAGCGCAGGCATTTAAATATCGCTGTTGTGGGGCCTCCTGCGATAGTATTTTTTAATTGCCCATTTAAATTTTGCTCTAAATTATATAGTGTATCATAACTTTTGAAATATATGAGGTATAATTATGAATTTTTCACTGAAATCATCTTAAAAGATGGTTTTATAATGTTACCTTATAATATGAGCGCTCTGTATCTGAGCGATGGAAGCAAGTGGATTAGAATTTGAGTTTCATATGTTATTTCTTGAAACATCCATCTAAACACAACCCTGCCTCACATTCACTACACCAAAAATAAATTCTTTTACCATGTTTTGTGCACACCACACATCTTTTTTGAGACTTTGCTTTTTTCCTTTGGCTGGAATATGCTCCAAGAAATGTTGTTCTGTGAGTCTTTTAGGCGGCGATTCAACTGAAGGACAGCCATACAGGATGAGGAAAACCAGAACCGTGATTTTCCACGAGGCCTTGTGCTAGTGAAATTCTGAACTTTAGCATGCCCATGTTTTTGTTATTCGGGAGACACCGATATATGACCATTGCGTTATGTATTGCTACATTGAATAGCCTCTTGAATAACTTCTGATACCACTTAGTACTCTTCTTTTGTTCAAGTAAGTATGGCTGTAGCATTTGATCCGTCAGATCCACTCCTAGCATGTTTCTGTTGTAATCACAAACAACCAAGGGCTTTGTTTCTTGTTTGTTTGCTTTATTCACAACCACACGCGTATCATCTTTGTGGTATGTTGATATCATAGTCACTCGGCCATTGTAACTGTGAGGTCAGCGCTCTATTTAGACTGACTGGCAAAGCTGCAGGAAATTGAATGTTATGTTTACACGAACAGAGAGCTAATTCTTTTCACAACAGCCCAATGCAATCGTCATCATGCTGGCATGGTTCGTTCCATATTTATGGGCCTTCGAAATTAAGCTTACAGCTTAGCCTACGGTGTACGGCAAACTGCAGGTAGGACCATTTAAATACCAGCGTACCGTGTACGGCAAACCACGCTGAAGGGTTAATTCATTGTGGTTTGTATGAGAAAAGGTACACTTAAGTTATTGTGTGAGACTGAGGTTCATGCTTGTCCAACATATCATACTTTTGGTTTCTCTGTTTTATCATCACCAGTGCCCCTGTTGTTGTCACTGTCATCACCACTACATGCTTATTATCATCATCATCTGGTGACAGTGTGAAGCTTTTTTCATGTTTTACAAATTCCAGTTTTCAGATTTTTAAATTAGCAGAGAATTTTAACAAATGTAATACATTAGGTTATAACATTTTCATAATTTGCATTCCTCAGACTCAGGAAAAAGTTTTGACGTATGAGAGCTGAAGTGAGTGGAAAATGGAGGGTATTACATAATGAAGAACCTGTTGTTTTGTAGGTTTGCTTAGTGCAGCTAGGATGGTCAGTTCAAGGAGGTATGCTGGGCTGGACATGTGACACAGGGACAGTCAGCAAAAATTAGAAATGCATACATAATTTTTATAATGAAAGATCTTGGAAAAGGACAGCTTTGAAGGTCAAAATTGAAGTTGGTTGGATCGTTTAAAAATGGATGCAAGTTGTGAGATGTAAACTGCATGAAACTGAATAGTAGGTGGTTCAGTGTTGGGCTGAAGTATTTGCACTATTGCACCTTTTGAGTTCTGTTGTGCACATGCATGTTTTTTTGACAGACTGTGACATCAGACATGGCAAGTGACACAAGGGAAGCCATCAAGCAGATGACACAGCACCACATGTCGAACCCAAATGCTATCATCCTGTGCATTCAGGATGGGTCAGTAGATGCAGAGAGAAGCAATGTCACAGACTTGGTGTCCCAAATGGATCCTCAAGGGAAGCGCACAATATTTGTTCTCACAAAGGTGGACATGGCTGAGGAAAACCTTACAAACCCTGACAGAGTAAGCACTGTGCATAACCTGCTAGTCTGATAATATCCTCATCAAACATAACCAAATTTCAATATGAGATATGTTTTACATATATTATTGTCAAATTAATTAACAGTCTGCATTGAGTAGATTTTTTTTTTGTGAGAAGCTAATAGGTGTTCACCTACTCTCAAAATTCTCCTTTCTTTATGGAACCTGGAAGGTTCATTGCCATGTTCACAAGAGCCCACCAGTGTTCCCTATTTTCATATCATTGTCAGAACATTTTATTAATTTGATTTTTATAATGTAATCATTAAAACTGGAGTTGAGAAAGAGACCATGTTTGTAGATGGGAAGATATAGTGTTGTTGGTGTTTGTTTTTTGTAGTTTTGTGGAGTGGGGTGAGACTGAGTCCATTTGGTACATCAGCCACTATTTGGCTTATTGTACCAGCCCCCTGGGTGATAGACGGGTATGAAGCATTTGGTGAAACGAGAATTGGCAGGGGAACTGAAGTACTTGGAGAGCTATGGCACAGCCCAAGACAAATTTAAAATGAAGATTGGATGAACGGTTTATGATGATGTAAACTTGATTTAACTCTTCTAGGATGCTTTTATGAACATGATGATGAAAATTTTGTTTTCATAAATGCAGGGAATGGAATTTACCCCATTAACTGCCCAAAGATCATTTGTACACATAGAGTTTAGTAATGTTGTGTGTAGCTGTTCTAACTCGACTTCATATTTTAATAAAGCTGATGACTGAAAGTGAATTCATGTATTTGTGGATTTTGATAGAATTCATGTGTATTTTATAAAAAAAGTACTATAATTTCTTTAGATTGTATTGTACCTATATTTAATAACAGTCTCATTAATTTAAAAGGATTGTGGTTTATGTTCAGATAAAGAAGATACTTTCTGGAAAGCTGTTCCCAATGAAGGCATTAGGATACTTTGCAGTTGTAACAGGTCGAGGGAAGAAGGACGACTCCATTCAGTCCATCAGAGAGTACGAAGAGAAGTTTTTCCACAATTCACGCCTATTTAAGTGAGTTCATTTTTATTATATTTCACTTATCTGACACATTTACCTGCATCTGGGGTAACCAAATGTTTCTTTCAATTTGCATCATCATTATCACAGACTGCATAAGAGTATGTTTGTTTACCGAAGGGATGGTGTGATAATGTCTGGCCAGGTGATGACTCGTAATCTTAGCCTTGCTGTGTCAGAATGCTTCTGGAAGATGGTGCGTGAGACAGTAGAGCAGCAGGCTGATGCTTTCAAGGCTACACGCTTCAATCTTGAGACTGAATGGAAGAATAACTTTCCCAGGTAACACAATAATTACTACTGCCATTAATGTTTGTACACCATAATTTAGTTTTATTTATTCAATAATCATGTAGTTGTGTAGTGTAGTGTAGTGTAGTGTAGTGTAGTGTAGTCTGTTGAAAGTCAACTGACATTTTGGAGGAATATGTCACCTCTGTCTTCAGTGTCGAAAAACAAGCCAAGCAAGAAACCAGCATGATTGCTAGTTGATTCATGCTGGTTTATTGCTTGGCTTATTCTTCGACCCTGAAGATGGAGGCAACATGTTCCTTCAAAATGTCAGTTGACTTTCAGTGGACTGCATGGTGTTATATCCCACAAGGTAGACCTCTGGCGTAACTGTTAATTTCTGTTTTTTATTAGCCAAATGAGGATTACTGATGACACAGCATTCTATTGTCTTGGTTCAGGAAGAGAGTGGATGGCGAGAGACAAAGAAAATAAGAGGTCTTTCCTCAGTCTTCTCAGTACATGTGTGGGAGGATAACAACAAAGAGAATATTCACTATATTTTTTCTCCATAAAAACTCATGACTTGGTGCTGTCACATCGTTCTCTACCTTATGAAACCAGTGCAGGCTGTTGTAATTTCCTTGATACTCAGTCGCTATTCTGCATGAAGTTGCATGGACTTTCATGCTATCAAAATCAAGTGGAGTCAGAAGTAGCTTAATGATTTAGTTTGAACAAAGTCTCAGCTAAAAAAGAAAAAAGAATGCCCATACCATCAAACCTACCAGTTAATTTGGCACCTTCTAAGGAACATGTAGATGCACAGAACTTCCATCCACATGCCACCACTTGATAATTCATGGCTGTGAACCTCTGACTTCTCTTACTAGCAAAGCAGCATATCATGATGTGCATATTGTCTCTTTTCTCTTAGGAATGGTAGTAGTGAATCCATGGTATGTAGTACCACCTTGTAGTATGTGCAGACATTGTCATAACAGTGAGAGGTACTGGGTTTCAGTCTTGGCTGGAGCAACAGCTCTCATGATTGAAATCTTAATAGTTCTTTTGAGTTCCTTCAGGAGTATGACTGAATGCTGCCTTGAAATGAGCCATAATCTTTTCTTCCCAAGTCCTTTCCAGTTCACCATGTATAATTATACTCTCATCTAATTCATACCTAAATAATCTTTATAGTTGATACAGAATTATTAAATAACATATACACCAACCAAAAAGACTGCTGAAGGATGTTGTGATTTTCTCCAGTCATTGGCAATGCATTTGAAGGCAAAATAGTAATACAAATTAGATTTACACACACATTAAATCTTTGAGGAAGAAGGTAGTAATATTTGGGCCATTGCATTGAGAAATTGATTGTAAATGTGGTCCATGACAAATCTTATATTATTAACTAATTCCTCTTAGATTGTCTGATTGTAATTAAGGTAATAATGAAATACCTTCCTGTTATGGAACCAGAAAGTACATCACTGTCATCATGAAAACTATGCTGGGAGCCATTTCAGTCTGGTTCACACCTTTACAGTCTACGTAGGTCGTACTGAAAGTCATGAGCAACTTTCTTATGCATGCAACCTGGGAACAGCAGATGAAAGAGAGTACAGTGGTAGGTGGAATCAGCTGTTGTGTTAACCTTGAGTGTCTTGTGACGTCAATAGCTTGCATCACGTGACCAGTACCACTCCTAACAAAATGGCCGACAACTATATGTCGTTTTGCCAGCGTGCTGTCATCGAATTTCTTGTGAAAGAGGAAATCCCTGCTGCAGAAATTCACCAGATACTTCATTGTGCTTATGGAAGTGTGTGCATGGGTGCGAGCAATGTTCAAAGATGGGAACACCAGCATCAAAGATGAGCCTTGGAGCGGTCGTCCTCGAACAGCCTCAACTGAACGCAACAAGGAAAGAGTGGATGAGATCATTGAAGATGATAGGCGTGTGACTGTGGACACAATAGCCTGAAAACTTGGAATAGGGCACAGTGCAGTACAGGAGATGATTGAAAGCTTGGGCTATAGGAAAGTTTGTGCTCGTTGGGTCCCGCGGTTATTGACTGAAGAAAACAAAGGTCAGCGAAAAGCCATCACCTCAGAACTGCTGCAGAGAGATCGACACAAAGGCGATGACGAAAGGTGACGAAAGCTGGTTTCACCATTTCGAGCCTCAAATGAAACGGCAGAGTATGGAATGACACCATTTGCTTTCTCCATCAAAACAGAAGGCAGNTGAAGATGATAGGCGTGTGACTGTGGACACAATAGCCTGAAAACTTGGAATAGGGCACAGTGCAGTACAGGAGATGATTGAAAGCTTGGGCTATAGGAAAGTTTGTGCTCGTTGGGTCCCGCGGTTATTGACTGAAGAAAACAAAGGTCAGCGAAAAGCCATCACCTCAGAACTGCTGCAGAGAGATCGACACAAAGGCGATGACGAAAGGTGACGAAAGCTGGTTTCACCATTTCGAGCCTCAAATGAAACGGCAGAGTATGGAATGACACCATTTGCATTCTCCATCAAAACAGAAGGCAAAGACAGTGCTATCAGCTGCAAAGGTGATGGGAACAGTCTTCTGGGATGCAGAGGGGTTTATTCTAAACCATTAATGCTGCTCGTTATGTCCAGACGCTGCACAAGCTCCGTCGTGCATTGTGCGATAAACGTCCGGGACGAAACATCATCATCCTGCATGACAACGCTCGCCCCCATGCCGCTCGCCTCACATTGGAAGCAATTGCAAAGATGGGGTGGGAAGTTCTTCCACACCCCTCCTATAGCCCTGATCTGGCACCCTCCGACTACCATCATTTTGGATTTGTGAAGTATCAGCTGCATGGACAACGTTATGAGACAAGGGAGGCGATTCAGAAAGCAGTGCGTCAGTGTCTTTGGATGTCTGGAACGGAATTTTACAGAAGGGGAATTTTGAAACTTCCAGAACGCTGGGAGAAATGTGTACAAAGAAGTGGCGATTATGTGGAAAAATACAGAAAGGTCTGTAGATTGAGGTGGTGTATTTGGTTTGTCAATAATAAATCATGTTACTTTATAAAAAATTGTTGCTCATGACGTTCAGTATGACCCTTGTATTTCTTGAAGACTGATTTCAGTATGTATTTCCGTTTGTGCCATCTTACAAGCATTTTGTCATCATGAGGTTTTCATGCCAAAATTTTGTATGCATTTCTTGAAATATTCAGTTGCTAAACCTTTTCTTCAGATTGAGGGAACTAGACCGTGACGAGTTGTTTGAGAAAGCTAGAGGAGAAATATTGGATGAAATAATCAATCTAAGTCAAGTTTCACCCAAAGACTGGGAAGAACTTCTCATGAAGAAAATGTGGGACAAAGTCTCGATGCATGTATTTGAAAACATCTATCTCCCTGCAGCACAGACTGGCAACACAAGTGAGTTTTTTCTTTCATTTCTCCCAACTCAGTTTTACGATATATAGGGATCATTAACTTTTTACACTCCACCTGATTGAAACTGTGCCTAAAATTTTTTATCCATTAGAGGAAATAAGTTTAAGCATGTGTTATACGTGCATGTCACACATGATAATAAGACGTGCTTTCACTTTATATGAACTTACATTCGCGGGAGGACTTTCAGTACTATTTTAAATATCTTCTATTTAAAAGCAGTATCAGACTCATGTCTTGAATGATTCCCAAGACACTGTATTTGATACAAGGTTTACTATACGGTATATTATAGAAATCTGTATATACCGTAGAATGTGAATTTCTTCATTTGGGGTTTCTGTCAAGCAGTAATCCAGGGTGTTTGACATAGACCACAATTAAATTCTGCAAATATTTCAGGAAATACTGCCAGCAGAAAATTTCATGGACAGTTCTTGAGAGATTGCAGATAATTTCTGTTTGTTCAGGCACATGACAGATTTCTTGGACTGCAGGCTTTAACTGCTATACAGTATGAAAATGAAACACTTCCTTAGTTTTGATTTCAGTTTTCTGTGTTGTGACTCAGGTACTTTTAACACAACGGTTGACATCAAGCTGAAACAGTGGGCAGAACAGCAGTTACCTCAGAAATCAGTGGAATCAGGCTGGGAGGGTTTACAGACTGAGTTTCAGCACTTCATGGAACGTGCAAAGAACAGACCTGATCATGATGGCATCTTTGACAATCTCAAGACAGCTGTTGTGGATGAAGCTATGCGCAGGCATTCATGGGAAGATAAGGTATCTCTTGTGAAGAGTACTGCCTTCTGGGAAGTTATGCCGTGTAGTTTGGTAGACATTTACCCACTTTTCAGAGGCACCACATTCCTCCAAATTGTGAGTAAACATGTACCATACTATACAGCATCACACATGCCAGAAGACAGTAATTTTTTTAGTCACAGCAGTGATAACCTGGAACCCAGTCTCATATCTTTTATGAAGTTTAGTCCTTTTTATTTTATTAGTACATAGATGTTTTAGCTGTATGGTGTTATATCTGATCTGTATTCAAAAGATACCTCAGTCCAATCAAATCGTAGCTGGGACAATCACAACTGAGGTTTGTGTTCATTTTCTTTGTCTCTGTAGAGAAATCAAATAGTCATTACTGCTTCCATTCTCATTTAATTTCAAAATTCATGGTATCTGTCATTCATTGCTATGTAAACTTGGTAGTTGATGTGGTAAGATTAATTACATCGGCAGTAAACACAACTACTACAAAAGTATAGTTTGAATAATAATCAGTAGCCAGAAACATATCACAGCTTAACACAAACTTTTACAGTGAGACTAATCTGTAATTATGTCATATTCTAAAATTAAATTTCAGTCTTGTCAAAATTGTTGTGTCTCAGAAATGAGAAAAATTATCTGCATTTTATATACAAAAATGGCCTAGACAATGCCGATCTGACCCTCTGTAGCACATTCTTAAAAACATCTTACTCTGTCATAGCTTCTTAGGCTTCTCCAGTTCCATTGAACAAGCTTAATTGGTTGATTCACATTGAATTTTGTTGTAATGTTGCTCGTGAAGCTTGACGGCTTTCCACAGGTGTCTGACCATTGCTTTAGCATCCCAGAAGTTTATCACCAATTTGATTATTGTTACCAGTATATTCTTGACTATGTCCTCCATCTGAATGGACTCCAACTCATCTAAAGATTTCTCTAACATTGTCTGGTCTTTTGAACTGTTCTTTTTTCTCTACATTGCTTGGACTTGGTTCAGATACTTGAGTCCTGCTGTTGTCCATGGTCATCTTCCATTGCCTTCTCCTCAGATTCCTTCGGATCGGCTGCCTTGGGGCTTTATTACTTTCACTTGTCTCTGTATTATCCCATTCCTTTCAGCTTCTTGGTATTTTAAGAGGAGGGAAGCCCCTCATATTAGGTTCAGCATATCTTCAGAAGCTTTCAGCACCTGAAGAGAACACAGGATTTGACTGCCAGGGTTGTGACCATTTTTCGAAAATTTTCTGTGCTTCCAAGCTGTCCTACTCAGCCTGGAAAAACTGTGGGACGTAACAAACACTGTACAGCACTGAGCCTCAAAGTTTTCTAGGATGTACTGAATAGGAACAGACAGTGAATCTAGTGAATGATCTGGGAATATCACTGGTGGTGCTTTTCACAGTCACCACAAACAATCACTGCACATCTGCAAACTGAGAAAAATCTGACATCCTGCACATCATCACATACTACTTGGAGGAAGTGACAAATATATACAGAACTGTAAATAGATGACTTGAAGATTGAAAAAAACATTAGTTCAGTAGGGGACTTTTGTGGTTATGGTGATGAGCCTTTACATTCCATTATCAGAGATTTTCTTGACCATCTAAATAACAGACAGATGCTCAACGAGGACTCTGTACCACATATTCAGTCAGCTGGCTAGCTAGCAGTTAAGTATTGTAATTTGAACTGACATTATATAACTTTCCAGGCATCAGAGATGTTGCGAGTGATACAGTTGAACACACTGGAGGACCGGTCAGTGAATGAGAAACAGCACTGGGATTCGGCTGTGAAATTTCTAGAGAACAGTGTCAAGGAGAAACTTCAGGTCAGTATCTTGTTCTAGAAGGCAATTATTATCATTCTGCTAACTCGTTATGTCCGTCTTCAACCATTTCCATGTTGTTTATGGAACATTCCATAACTATGTGCTGTCTCAGTCATTTATTATATTCTGCATACAACTTGAAGTAGTTGCTGTTATATCATGTTGTGCACATTCTGCAGGCAAAATGTGAAGTTAACCCTGAGCATAATTAATTAAGCAGCATGCCATGAAAACATATGGGAGAGTGGAGTTACCCATTGGATAGGAGGTCAGGTGGGCCACAGAGGCAGTCTGGATGTCATGGTAAAGAGAAAAAAATCTTACCTTTGCAGGGAATAGAACCCAAATTCCTCAGCCATCCATCCTATAGCCCTGTCACTATAATGACTGAGCTTTCCTAACTTCCATATTCTGCAGGTGTACATGGAGAAGTATTACATATATTTGAGTTTAATGAAGTGATAAATTTGAATTTCAATAAGGAAAATAGTAGTAGAGCACTCCATAACAAGAAGTGTAAACTGTCGCAGTGCATGACCCGGCAGCCTCATGTGAACAATTTACAGAGCTGTGTAATGGCTTGAGTAGTTAATTGGTGACTTCTTACTGTAGTGTTGTGTGTTCATTCTCAAGGCCATTTGTGTGGAACCTGTGGATGAAGTGATGCTGGATCATGTTTTTCTCAGAGTACCTCAGTTACCGCCTGCCAGTCATTACTTCATCAGTGCTCCTTACTCATTTGCTGTCATTCTTAACATCAGGGGCTTATAACAATATACTTTTTTGAGGCTGCAGTACATTGAGAGACTGTCTCATCTCACACCTGTTCTTATTGTTGATGTTCTTGCTGCTGCTATCATTATTATTGTTAAATGGCTATACTGACCACTTCCATCAGTCATCTGTTGTCCTGGAAGTGATTTTTCTGTATTACAGAGCATCCAGACTGGCTCTGGGGCTCTCACAGCCTCCTATCCAATGAGTACGGGGGACTCTTTCCAAGAGGATAAAGTGGCCAGGTTGTGAAGCTGACCACTCACTTTGAACTAATGTCAGCGTTAAGGATGGGGGAGCATAGTGGTTAATTAATTAAGCACAGGGATAACTTTACCTTTGACTTCTACCTTACATTTAAAATGAAAACAAGTTCTGGATTACTGCAGTAAGGGCTAGGATCTGTGAATATTTTTGTGTTCAGGCAACAGAGATGATTCTGCGAGAGATGTTTGGCCCAGGAGCAAAGGAGAGATGGCTGTACTGGAAGTACCAAACTGAAGATCAGATTAAAAGAAGTCATGTGAAGAATGAATTGGAGAAGTTTCTGTTAGCAGATTATGTGAGTTCAACATAAGATAAGTAAGGTGTCATGGTTAGCTCTCTTGGCATGGAGACTAGCAACACTGAGGTGTCATGGTTAGCGGTCTTAGCATAGAGACAGGCTCTGCTGAGTTTGTATGTATGCGGATTACCTAACTCAAGTCAGATGGTTAGCACTTCTGGAGACTAGCTGTGCTGAGGTTAATTGTGGTTTTCCATAGTCCCTCTAGGTAATGTTAGACATTATAAAACTGCAGGTTAGAGTCTTATTAAATAAACCAAGACATTAAGAAAATAAGTGAGAAAATTCTGATTTAAAGTTGAAACTCAGAGAATCAGTTTTGTTAAACTTGTACTGATGATATTGGAATGTGTTCTTTTGCCTAGGATAAGAATGTAACAGCTATGGTTAATTTCTAGATTGTACTGATGATAATGGTATATGTTCTTTTATCTAGGATAAGAATTTAGCAGCCATAGCTAGTTTCCAGAAAACAGTGTGCATAATATAAAAAAGATGCCACTTTAATGCGAAGGCACATCATTTTGCTATGTTGTATATGGACATGGTGGTAATATTAGCTAAGTATTGAGCATCTTGAAAATTACGAATTGAATAATATAATTTTTGGTCACCCTGCACATAGCAAAATGATAGTTTTGGTAAAAGTTTCAACTTGTAGCTCAGCACTTGCAGCCACTTTCAAGCTGCTGGCTGAAGAGATTGATGTTTCTTATTCTTTTGCTGACATACCTGCAATCCAAAAGTTCCTGAAATATACTAATAAAAACTATTACGTCTTACCTGGATCTTATTCTGCACCATCACCTTCAAAGTAGTCCCCTTGGGAGCGCATACACCGATCCCAGTGTTTCTGCCACTTTTGAAATGCATCCTGGAAGTTTTTCTTTGTTAAGGAGCTTAGTACCATCTGCGTTTCCGCTTGAATTTCCTCAACTGTATCAAATCTTCGCCCCTTCAACTTGATTTTCATCTGGGGGAAGAGAAAGAAGTCACATGGAGCTAAGTCTGGTGAGTATGGTGGGCAGAGAACAACTTCCATCTTGGTACCCAGTCGTTCGTGCACCACTTCTCTGGGTGTTTTCTCCTCATGTCCTCCCTCAAATGCCTTAGAACATTGCGATAGAACTCTTTATGACTGTCTGACCAGGAGGGACAAACTTGTTATGAACAATCCCGTTAATATATAAAAAAAAAAAACAGATCAACATGGACTTAATGTTGCTCTTGACTTGTCAAACTTTTTTTGGCCAAGGTGAAGAAGGGCTCTACCATTGCAAAGATTGCTGCTTACTTTCAGGGTCGTAGCCATAAACCCAACTTTCGTCACCAGTGACAACCTTCGAAAGAGTTTGGATCCTCTTGAAGCTGTTGTTGAAGTTCCCTGCAGACTTCCAAGCGATGCTGCTTCTGTTCATTTTGCAGCAGTCATGGCACAAACTTCGCTACAATCCTCATGTTCAGTTCCTCTGACAAAATTCGTTGACGTGTACCATAACTTAGTCCCAAGGTGTTACAGAGGTCTTGGATGGTCAATCTACGATCTTGCAGAATCAGATCCCTAACGACATTTTCTGGTGTGCCAGTTGATGGCTGTCCCGAACGATCGTCATCATCAGTCAATGATCGGCCATTTTTGAAACGCTTATACCAGTTGTAAGTTTGTGTCTGGCCTAAAATATTGTCACCAAAAGCCTGCTTCAACATTTGGTGTGTTTATGCAGCGGTTTTCCCAAGTTTAAAACAAAACTTTATACAGACACCACTCAACTTGATGGCGCTTGCCACACTTATTCAAGAAGGGTGTGTGGGGAGACACGTAGCAGTATTTTGATGTACTCATAACCATTCGTGCACAAAATTCAAATTTCGGGAACTTTTGGATTGCACCACATGTGTGCTGCACAAACTGTCTCTAGTAAAAAACTGTTATCGTGAACTTTGATGTCACACAGACAGCTAGAGTCTTTGTTATGCCATACATGAATGGAAGGGATCAAAAGTGTGTTTAACCCAAATTAATCTGAAACTGTCTCCAATCTACTGTCAATGATTTGCTTTCATGAAACCACAGATCACAGCTAGTTTTCTTGTTGGTACAGTGACTACAGCACAACTATACTTGAACCACTCCATGAACCAGGAGTGTCAATGTGATAGTAATGTACACTGTTACACTATAATTAGATTCTATTTTCAGCATAATTCCAGTATACAGTTACTGGTGGGAAATCCAGATATACTTGGTTAATATTTACTCATCAGATGGCAGTGGACTGATGTAAATATGCTATATGTGTACAGTGTTACAGAATTTTATTAATATGATGTATTACTTTTATGGAGAATTATCTTATTGTTTTGGTTTAGAAATAATACTTTTCTAATATCTCATAACTCCATTTTGCAGTACAAATCCATTCTAATTTTTTTAAAAGAGTTTGTTTGTTGAAGGTACACAAATTTCTTCAAGCATATAAATTCTGTCACAGAGTTATGTTTCCTGATAATGCCAGTACAATAAGGGTACGTTGATGACAAGCAATCTCTCAATGTACTTTTAGGAATGTCATCATAATTAGCTTTCATTAACCAGTTACAAAAGCTCTTTTTAGGTTCTCTGAGTTATATACATTGAGCTCATAAGTTATGCTCAGCCATTACCATCTTGAAGACGACAAGGAACCAAGGACCTCTGGCACAGGGTCCAAAACCTTGACCACATTCTGATTATGTAAAACCAAAATGCATATGTAGAATTAATTGAGAGTATGTTGTATTCCAGAAGCACCCTCCATCCCTGAGTTATGATGAGATAATGACAGTCAGAAAACTCATGGAGCGGAACAATATAGATGTGGACAGTGAATACATTCGTGAGACTTGGCATCCAATTTACAGGAGACATTTTCTGAAACAGAGCCTGGCACGTGCATATGACTGTCGCAAGGGCTACTACTTGTACCACCAGGGACTGGAGTCAGAGGTGAGATAAGCCTGTTTTGTTCATAAGAGGATAGAAATTAGAATGGGTCTGTGTATTGTGTGGATGAGAGTAAAAGGAACTGAAAGCTGTTGAACACAGCGATTTGGATGCATTATATAGAGTGTTTGGTGGCTTTATGTCAGTACTTAGGATATTATTTCTAAGGTCATTCCCAGTCATAAATTTAGTTTTAATATGGGTCCACGTATCAGTGGTTAAGGAGGTATGGATGTTTCCTGTTATTTTGATGAGCCTGTGTGAGCAAAAATGTTCAGATGGAGGCTTGCTTACTAGTACTGCTCTTGCTAGCCCAGACTATACTCAGGTTGTACATGTGTTGTATCAGACTGTTACTTACTCTGAATATTCCATTTATATTTTCAAATGAATACACAACTGTACATTTTGCATGGTTTTTTGTAATGACAATGCAAATACTGCAGTTGAAGAATATCAGTGTTTATTTCCACAGTGAAGAATTTCAGATAGTACTGTTCATCAACCAGTTGCATGAAAATGGCTAATTTCCAAGATTGTTGTCATCAGCTAAACATCTAACGTAGCAGAATGTGGAAAAGGAAGAAATGGCACAGGGCAAGCCACACATTTTTTTTATTGCTAGTGGGGTGGGACTAACTCCCTTGTACTGCGGCCACTTTTGGCCTATTGTACCGGCCCCAGATGATAGGTGAGGGTGATTGTTGAGCAATTGGTGGAATGAAGATTGGCAGGGGAAACCGAAGTACTCGGAGAAAACCTGCCCCAGGGCTACTTTGCCATCACAAATCCCAGTTGACCTAACCCGGGATAGAACCTGGGCCGCCGCGATGGGAAACCAGTGACTAACCGCTTGAGCTATGGCGCGGCCCGAAAGCGCACATTAGTGCTTGAAGAATTTCCACATGGCTTCAAGTCTTTTGTATGAGAGTCTAGCAAACATTAAGCAATGAAGGACTATTTGTATCGTATCCAAAGAATGCAACATCTTGAACCTGGGGACCAGAACTCCCAGTTGTGGGCCTTATGAAAATTCACAGAGCAATTACTTTTAACATTATTTTTTTGAGAATGTGTGGTGTTGAATCATTGGTCAACATTTTGTTGAACCATAATGTCTTACAGGAACGTCTGCCATATCGTAACTATTATAACGATTTTGCAAAATGAACTGCCACCCCTGTAAGCACGGTTACAGAGTACTTCCAGCATGATAGGGCATCCCCATATTCAGTAGACACATGGTACAACAGTTCCCTGACTTGCATATTGTCTGTAATTATCCAGAGAAATGACCACTATGGTCACTGAATGTCACTTCACAAAATTTCCTTATACTGGGTCACACAAAAGTGTGGTACATATGAATGCAGTGTAGACAGAAGAGAGGAAATGTTTCGTCAAATTTTTGGTGCTGCAAGAAGCACGAATGACCTGAATGTCCTACTTAAGTGTACACATTCTGTGGTGAAATGAACCAGAATATGTATCCAAACTGATGGTGGTCATTTTTCACATTAAATTGAATTTATCGCGTTTGATCCCGGGTCTGGTCAAGTGGGATTTGTGGTGGACAAAGTGGCGCCAGGGCAGGTTTTCTCCGAGTTCTTCGGTTTCCCCTGCCAATCTTCATTCCACCAGTTGCTCCACAGTCGCTCTCACCTATCATCTGGGGATGGTACAATAGGCCAGAAGTGGCTGCAGTGCAAGGGACTTAGTCCCACCACACTAGCAATAAAAAAAAATTGAATTTACACTAATCTATTTTTTTTTTAAATAAAGCTTAATTATGTCTGTTTAAATCATCTTGAATTTCAGATATGCATAGCTTCCTAACTGCCGAGAGTTGGGTCCTTGTTTGTGTGATGTTTCTGGCTGGGAATGACTGCATGAATAGATTCTGAAATACTGACATACAGTCTTCACAGCTGGGGAGGGGGTTGGATTTTCAGGATTAATGGTATATTTCTCACCACTACTGTGCATGGAATTGTGCTTCCCACCGTCATATCCACTAATTACCTTTCTGTGTGGGGGGATAAGTGGCTTGAGCATAAGGCTGACCAGTCACTTCATCTAGGTCCAAATTTAAGAATACACTGAGCTTTATATACTAGTATTTGTAAATGACTAATATGAACATAATGTAATTGTGATTTTTTGTTCTCATGTCAGCTGTCTTACTTCTTACAAAACTACATCATATGTACAGGTGGATTGTGCTGATGTCGTTCTCTTCTGGAGGATTCAGCAAGTGCTCAAGGTGACAGCCAATGCGCTCAGGCAGCAAGTCATGAACAGAGAAGGTGAGCATGAAGTGAGGAAGTGTTGAATCTGAGTCGAATCAGGGGCATAGCAAAGTTATAGAAAATTTGAAAAGATAATTCTGTACCTCAGGATGGCTGAAGTACATAAAATTGTGCCATCTCCTGAGCCCTAGTACTTCTGTGGTACAGATATAAACCATTGTGTTTCGAGGTCTACAAACTTAATTTCATTTGGCATGAGGAATAATTGCCACAACAGTGGAATAAACTGGTTGGCATAATGGTAACACTCAACTTATATTCGGGAGGTGTTTGGTATTAATCTTGGCTGGACAATGGCTATCCTGATAACAATTGTTTTTGGTTTTATTCAGTCCCACCAGGCAGATTCTGGGAGGGAAACCAGCCATATCCTGATGATTTTTTTTTTGTTTTCTTCAGTCCTTCCAGGGAAATGCCAGGATAGTATCCTGATTATCCCAAAGCTGCTTTCTTCATCATGATTCCTGTCTCATCCTACCATTCAGCACTATATAGTCTAGTTACCTACAGTCAACGTACCTGCTGTTTTACCCTCAGGGAAACAGCCCCCAGTACCCGTTGTTTTGGAGGCTAAGTGGGTCCTATAGCCAGTTTGAATATTATGGAAAAGAAAAAGATGACTGGCCCCTGCCAGGAATCAAACCTCAACTCCACTGTCGCTATATAAATTGAGCTGTCACGGCTCTTCTGTTGTTATGTACTTTACCAACTTATGCTGAGTTAAATGATTCATGTTCTTTACCCTTCTACAATCTGTATGAAGATATGGTGGAAACATTTTCCTGTGCTTTATTACTAATGTAGCACGTCGCTTGGATAAAGAGATCAAAGATGTTCTGGAAGATTACAGCCAAGACGCAGAGAAGAAATTGAAACTGCTGACTGGACGAAGAGTTACACTGGCAGAAGAACTGAGTAAGTTGCCATCTTGTTTAATATGAGCAAACATGTTACTACATTTGTAAAGTCATTCTACCATCTGTGCATACATTCAGGCATGTTTGTTTGAAAACAGATGTTTGTTAGATGTTGGTATGAGAGACCCATTAAAATTAAAATTTTTTGAGACATGCACATATTCTTGGGTCATGTGTTGAACTGTTATTTTAAAACGATTGCAGGAGGAGACCTGATATAAAGTTATCAGAGTTGCATTTTGTCTATGAGAAAGCCCTAATTTTGCAGCTTTAAAAATAAAGGGTTCATAGGAATATAGATTTTACATAAAAGCAGTGTCATAAGAAATCAGTATTTTTTCTTATGGTGTAGTGAGATAATTTGGGCTTCACCATGTGAACTACAAAAATTAAAAATACCAAAATTAATTATGCTATATGTCATCTCAGGATCTACAAAGACTATGCACTAGATAGTTATTCAGAATAATCTTTTCAGCTTTGGTGACAGTGTTGCAAATATATGCAAAACAATAGTGGGAAAATATCTGAATAAAGTTGTTTTCATAATCTAAAGGGCTGGAATTGGTGATAATTATTCTGGCGTCATCTGCAAAAAGAACCAATAAAGGTCCCAGAATTGATCCCTGGGAAAACCATTATTAACTTTGTCCCATTCAGAATGAATATGCCAATTATTAATTACAACTCTCTGGTATCTATTTTTGAGGTAGGATTTTATCAATGCATTGGCCTTAGCAATTATTCCATAAAATTCCAGTTTAGATAGTAAAATATAGTTGACACAGTCAAAAGCTTTCTTCAAATCATAGAAAATGCCACAAAGTAATATTTTATTATTAAGTGCATTTTATATTCCATTAATTAATTTATATGAGGCTATTTCTGTAGATGAATTACTCCTAAAACCTTATTCATTTGCTAATATTCTGTTACTCATTATACAACTGTGTAGGTGCAGTCTTGCATATGTAACCTTTTCAACAACTTTTGAAAAGGATGTTAGTAATGATATAAGTCTGTGGTTAGTCATATTTATCTCCATTTTTAAATAAGGGTTAATTTCTGAATATTTCAACCAAGTGGGGAAGACACCGGTTGAAAGAGTTCTGTTACAAATATAAGTTAATGGAGTGCTAATGAGGCCGGTCACGGTAGCCGAGTGGTCTAAGGCATGCAATGTCTTCGCTCGATCAGAAGCTGGGATCATGGGTTCGAATCCCACTCAGGGCATGGATGTTTGTGTGCGTTTGTCTGTGTTTGTCTACAGGTAGAGGCCTTGCGACGAGCTGATCACTCGCCCAAGGAGTCCTACCTTGTGTGTAAGATTTAGAAAAACCGAAGTGAACGGAGTTCATGGAGGTAGGCCTAGGCCCACTGGGGCTGTAGTGCCGGTGGGGGAGTGCTAATGAAAGGCACGCCAATTTTTAAATTTTAACCAAAATTTCATCATACCCATTAGAATTTTTTGGTTTTAAAAACTTAATTTATTTTCAATTTCTTTAGTAGAGGTATGGTTGAATTTAAATTTAGGGGAGTTGTGTAAGCTTGAGACAGATAATTCAAATATTTGTCAGTATCAGACTCTATAATGTGGCCAACATTTGCATTATTGGTATTGATTTTGCCAGCTATAGTTAGAAAATAATTATTTAAAGACTCTATAATCATATTAGAATTATCAGTTAATTTCCCATTAGTATTTAAAAACTGTAAGCCTGCAATTTTAATTTTTCTCTCCAGGTGTTTTCATTTTGTTATTAGAATTAGAAATTAACGTATTAAAATGAAGATTTTAATTGTGCAGTATGTTTTATAATATTATTTTAGGTTTGGATCATTACTATTCCTAAGAGCTATGTGCTGACATGAAATCTTTATACCACATTTCATCCAAGGAATATATTTAGTTTTAATTTTAACTTTTTTTTTTTTTGTAGAATATTCTTAGATAAGTATTAAGAAAGGAGTTGAATATGTATAAACATCCAGATCGACAAAAACATTGTCTAGAGTTTCATAACTTAATTGAATCAAAAACCCATTCATGGAGGACTTCCTAAATTTCCTTACTAATTGGGTGCAACTGTTATGTGTTTGTGAGTTAAATATTATTTATGTATATAATCTGTCCATCATGATCAGACAGACTATTAGCATTCTTTGCAATTTTGAATATTGTATGTCCCTTATGTTATTTCATGCATAAACAAATCTGACATATTAACTGCACAGTCATTATGTTATCGACACAGCTAATACATGACATACATGACACTTCACTGAGACATAATTCGTTTCTCTTTGTATTTAATTAAATATAGAGCACCATAAAAGATGTTACCTATTTTTTATGAGATGTGAGATGTTCTATAGGATTAGCCATCTAAGGGAAAATTGTTCAAAGATAGCTTCAATAGAGTAAGTTTTATAACTGATTTATGTGGATCCAAATTAAATTTGTATGACTTCTAGTTAGGAGATCCCATATGGAATATGTTATAAAAAGTACATTAAATAGTTTTGGGGTGCAACATGGAGCTCAGATTGCTAGCTGGACAGACAAGCATGAGAGGCCTGTAATGATGGAGGAGATATGTTACATGGACATGCTGTGGAATGTGGAAGTCATATCGTGTACACATTTTTGTTTACTTTTTCAGAACGAGTTCGGCAGATCCAAGAGAAACTGGAAGAGTTTATTCAAGCTCTTAACCATGAAAAGTAGTGAAATGAAATGATGTACAGGCTTCTGTAATGCACCTTTGTAACTGAGCTTTAAATACTAACACAGTTGCAGTTTGCACAATAACAAGAATTGTTATATAACTATTGTAAATTTTCTTCATGTGTTCATAAATATAGATAAGACTAATGAGACATGTATACAGACATAACATCCTCTGGCTCTATAGTGACAAGAGATATAAGATAGTTATATATTTGTGCTAGAACCTTTCAGTATGATCTTAGGTGTCCAGTTTTGTTTAAAATAAGTAAAAGAGAAGACACATGAATGTGTGTGGGTCCACAAATACATATTCGTACAAGTGGAAGACATTTCATTCATGCAAGGAATGGAATGAATATACAAGTAGTAAAATCCAAACTCCATGAGGCAGAATTCCTCTTGAGAAGCTAATTGATGCTCAGCTACTTTAGAAATTCCTTGACTTTTATGGAAAGTTCAGTATCATTTTTAAAAGAATCCGCTAAAGGTCTCTATCCTGGGCCACATTAATGCAGTCCACATCTTCCCACCCTTTTTATTTAAGAATCATTTAAATTTTACTGCTTGACAGTCAACGGGAATCATATCTTTCATATTTTTATTCACCACTGAGCCTCCTTTCTTCCTTTCCTCTGTCCTATTCATGCCTTTATATCATTCTTCATTTCTTTGTTAAACAGTGAATTACATTAGATCATTATCATTCAGATGGCACAGTTTTGAACATGGGGCTGTCACCTCGATAATTATATGAAAACTATGATGACCTGAGGACATAACATATACACAAACAGTCATGAACATTCATTACAGAGTGAACAAGAAATGTTTCACCAAACTTTGGGATAGGGTTCCACACACTGAAATAATGAAAAAAAGTATATATGAACATGTGTCCGTAACAGTTGCATTTTGAATTTTAGAACATTTGAGGACAATAGCCTGTCTATACCTTCCAGTTTTCCTGATTGTTTATAGAACACTGTCTTGTTCTCTGGAAAGGCAGTCATGAATTAGTGTGTCTCGTACCCCGCAGAGACATCAGAGCTGGTGTGCCTCATGTACCATGCAAAGGTACTCGTTAGTACATGTCTTGTACCATGTGGAGGCAGTTGCCAGTCATTGTTTTACATTTTGTAAGTCAGTTGGTGTGATGGTCAAATTGTGTTGTTCTGGTCACAATGGCAAATAATGATGGAAAGTATGGTTTGGCAGATGGAAGTATGAGAGAAGCAAATTGTCTTTATCAAGAATGGTTTCCTGGAAACGAGCATGTTCAGTGGGATTCATCAGCATTTCAGAGACAGTGGAGCATTTGTATTGAACTGAACAGGCCAAGGAAGGCTGTTATCAGGGAGTACTGCTGATTTGGAGGAGAGGGTGTTGCACCACATGGAAGAGGAACCTGGGACTAGTGCAAGGACTGCAGCTGCAAAGAGAGTCTTTCAAAACACAGCTGCATGGATGTTGCATGAAGATCTACTGTATACTTACCATCTTAATGGGTTCAAGCCCTTACCCTGCTGACTGTCCCAAAAGATCTGTGTTCAACCTGACTTCTTCAAAAATATGCAACCATTTCACATCTTGTTCACCAATAAAGCAGGATTTACGCATGACAGCATTACCAGCTTCCATCATACTTGTGTAGGCAGATGAAAACCCCCATGCTATTTTGCAGTTGAGGCATCAACATCAATTTCAGATTAATGTTTTGGCAGGTGGGGGATTGGCTAATAGGATCATGTTTTGCCAAGAAGACTCACAACAGCAGCATACCATATTTTCTTGGTAAATGTTCTATCAGAGCTAATGGAAGATGTACTTCTACAAGTATTAAATCACATGGTTCATGCATGCTGTGGCTTCAGCTAATTTCCTCATTCATGTTAGACGATACCTTCGGTGAAAAGTAGATGGGTTGAGGTGGGCCAATTCCATGGCCCTCATGCTTACCAAACCTCAATCCAGTTGTTTTTTTTTGGGGGGGGGGGGCTTTGAATGTTTAGTTTGTAAAAGTTCAGTCCATGATGTAGCAGAGTTCCAGCAACATGTGGAGAATGCATGTGGTACAATTAGAGGAAGGTCAGAATTTTTAAACATCTACAGCAGTCTGTGAAGCACCATGCTGAGCTCTGTGTGGAGATCGGAAACTGTAATTTTGTAACCATGATCCCTACTTCTGTAGCAAAAGAACAGGGTTTATTTTATACCTATATAAAATAAGGTTTATCATATTTCTTCAGTTAGGGATGGTGTAACTTGCAATTTATATTTTCGCAAGCAACAAAAATCCTTTTAATTCTGAGTAATAGAAACAAAAAACTCTAGACTAACAGTTAATAAATTGCCACCAAGTCAAATTGAATCTATAACCTGTAAGTGATGTAGGATAACTTTGCATAACTACAATCAGAGCAAAAGCTGCCTTTTTCATGTGTAACTAGACTATGATTTGTTCCCATGAAGTTTCATATACTTTATATGTGGGAAGGAAATTAAAATGCAATATTATGGATGGCACATTTAACAAGAAACACTTTTCAAACCACATCTATGAAAGTGGCACCTCACTGTTAATTTAATCCAACAAAAGATCAATTACAAAACTGTAGCTATACCCATTAGAGGTAGTACTGTCTACAATCTGTAAGAAAGATGTCATGATACTAGAATGAACATCCAGTCACAACAAAAAGCAACCTTAAAAAGCTTCAGTGTATTGCTGTGAATATTTTTGAATCAATACATTCCTTCTGCTGTAAAATTTTAAGAATCTGAAACAATCCACTCTTATAATTTCTAGACACAAAAATCAAGCAAGTGACACTAGTGCCTTGCATTTTTGCTAAACCAACCTTTAATTATTAAACATTTTTCTGTAGTTCAATTACTATCTCTTAACTGTCAGTTGCATAGTTCTTTCCATGGAGACTACCGTATGTCCAAAAAGTATCCGACTTTATTTTTTTCCGCTGTAAGTAATGGCCAAAGGGGTGGGGAAACTGAGCGTAGTAGTAGAAGAGACTTTCATGTGCATGTGCGATTTTTTGCTGACTTGCAACACTGCCGGATGTGTCTGTGGCTGCCAGATAGCGAAGTGGTGTAACACGTGTTCATCGCATTCTCGTTTCGCTGAAGATGACAGAACGCTTGGAGCAGCGATACTGCATTAAGTTTTGTCAGAAACTTGGGGATACCCAAGCTGAAACAATTCGCAAAATTCAGCAGGCTTTTGGCGATGATGCAATGTGGGTCACTCAAATTAAAGAGTGGTTCAACCGCTTTAAACATGGCTGTATGTTGGCGGACAGTGAGCAGTGTTCCGAGAGACTGTCAACGAGCCGAAATGCTGATATCATTGAAAAAGTGTGGACGCTGATCATGGAGGACCGTTGTTTGGCCATCCGTGAAGTTGCTGATGAGGTTGAGATCAGCAGAGGTTCCACAAACACAATTTTAACTGAGGATTTGGGCACGCGAAGAGTGGCGGCAAAATTTGTGCCCAAGCTGCTTGTGCTGGAGCAGCAACATCTCCGCCTTGAGGTTGTGCAGGACATGCTGGAGTGCGCCAACAGGGATCCTGAGTTCCTGAAGACTGTGATCGCTGGTGACGAGTCATGGGTGTACGGATATGACCCGGAAACCAAGGTCCAGTCGTCACAATGGAAGCATCCAACATCCCCGAGGCCCAAAAGAGCATGACAGGTTCAGATCAATGTGAAGGTGATACTG